TGGACTCCACCCTACTAGCAATGGCCTCCACCCTACTAGCGGTGGCCTCCACCCTACTAGCAATGGCCTCCTCCCTACTAGCGGCGGCCTCCACCCTACTAGCGGTGGCCTCCACCCGGCCACACTACTACCGCTAGTAGGGTGGAGGCCATCGCAAGTAGGGTGGAGGCCATCGCTAGTAGTTTGGAGGCCATCGCAATAGAAAAGGAGTAAAAAATATATAGAAATGTCTAAATTGATGCTGCAGTCTTGTAGAGCGATCTTTCACTTGATCGGCTAAAAGGCCACCGGGTTTCATTGATTTTGGCCTTTACTCCCCCTGCTTGACGTTTGTCTCGCGGGCGAAACCCATTGATGATTCTATTCCAAGGTCTATTGAATACACACTAATCGTCAAGTGTATATATATCTATGTCTATATGCCGTTCTTCATTTCATTGTTTCTGCCTTTTCATGTTTGGAAAATTGGATGCTTGAGATCTTTGTATCGTTTCTTGTTACGTGCTGTTGTTTGGAACCACTTTAACCCGAGGTTGCCAGTCCAGGACTTTATTACTCATTGTTGGAGAGAGCCTTTTCATGAAGCTGGAAGCTCAGACGGGAGGTCCGGTCGACGTGCAGTGGCAGCCACAGTGTCTCTTTGCAGTTCATGGACTCTCTCCGACACGCCTACGATGTGGCAGTGGTGAAGCCCAATCTCTTTATTTGCGCGTTTTCGCTCTTCCAAGGAGGGAACGGGAGAAATCGAAAGAGAGAGAGGGATGAGAGGAGGATATAGTTAATAACTATATAGTACTAATTACAGTATGTATACACCTCTCTGTGGTACGTCCAGCTCAAGTAGTTCAAGGCCCCGCATTGAGCACGGATGCAAAGGTTGCTGCTACTAGCTGCTGTTCTTTTCGTTTTGTTCTGAGCAGCAGTGAATATTTATTGGTGAATCGCATGTAAACTGCGAACTTGAAACGCCACTAATGGCTTTTATGTTGCATAGTTGCTATCGATGTTGATGGCTTGATTCGACACTTGCTTTTGCCCATGTCACTGCTGCAATTGTTTTTAACCTGCCATCGTTGTGTATTGTATGCTTCGTGGCTGATTTGTGTTGTTTGGATCTCAACTTGTTTAGGATCACTGCTCCGCTACCATTTAGTGTAAAGTTCAAATTGTTGCATACTTGTATGTCCAACTGGGCACCCAGAAACTATTCGTGAAACAGAAGTAAAGAAGAGCAACTTGAAGGCCGGCGTTGGAGTAGAAAGCTGTGTTGGGCAGGAGATGCGAGTGATATCGAGCAAGCTTTGGGACAATCCATTCCACAAGCTCCCTTTGCCGCTATGTTGGCAACTGCGGGAGGGGAGGGAGGGGGAGAAGAGAGAGACCAAGAGCCGAGTGGTAGGATGAGGAACGTCCTTGCAAGTGTGACCAAGTCGTAGGGGTTTCAGTGAATTGTAAACGTTGAGGCCTGCCCAACACAAGCCTGCCTTGAAGCAACAACTGAGGTGAAGGCATTGAAAGCTGCGGAACGCTATGTGGTGGTTCGAAATCGTGCTTTGTCAGACTAAGCTGCAGAGGAAATTGAGTGGTCGCGGCAGTGAATGCACTGGTGTTGATGACGTCAATGCTGTTCACAATATCTACTTATGTTCCCTCACCTCTCGTTTGAATTCCAATACATGTCATCCACTCTAGACTGAGGGATGGAGGACTTGTACACCCGTGCCTGGTGCCTGGTGGAGTACATATACGTTTCTTGGCTCGGCTATTGGGATTTCGTAGCTAAACCCAGATCGGACGGTCAGATTCAGACCGAAATCGGGCCCGAAATCAAGGCTCAGAAGTTCGGTTTCTACAAGGACAAGGTGCTGATCACAGGGCCAAATCAATTCTCGGAGACTTGGTTTAGCCATGTTTAGCACCAGGTGCGCACGCGATGCGGTGCGCATGAGCAGGCGAGCACATGCTGTGCTTTGGCTGTTTACGTCTTTGGCTTTGACACCCTTACGAGTTGAAGAGCTGAGGGCCATTGGGGGACTGTGGGACGACTTGCTCGGCCTTCGGCCATGCTCGGCCGACGGGGACGGCTGTTCTGAGGATTCTCGGACGACTTGCACAGAGATTCGGGCAAGCCATTTGGCCACATTGCCAGACTGGTGACTGGAGGTACTGTATTTGTGCGTCACCCGGGAGGAAAGAAAGGAGACTAATGGCTCACAAAACAATCACCTAGAAAACACATGTTTGGGCCCCAGGTAGCGAGGAGGACCGGCTGAAGATCTTTAAGTTTCTTGGAAAGACTTGGTCACCTTCAAGTGCCTTAGGTTGGAGGCTATTGCTATTAGGTTGGAGGCCATTGCTATTAGGTTGGAGGCCATTGCTGTTAGGTTGGAGGCCCAAGTACAAAGTTGTTGTCCGTAACATGTCCTGAATAGGTTCCCACAGTCCTGTGGCTGGTTTTCCGACAGGTTCATCATGGATGAAGGCGGCCCTTCCGTGATCGATCCGCAGATTTCAGAGTTTCGAGCTTTTGATGCACGCTTTGGCGCCTTGGTGAAAGAGTGCCACAAAACATTTGGCGCGATGGGTTTTCTTGAGCAATTCACATTTTCGCTGAAGGACGTCAGAAGGACAATGCCAAAATTGTGCGTTTCAGCCTGTAGAGATGGTTGCTATTTTTTCTGGCCTCCTGTGCGGTTCAGCCAAGGTTCTTCGCTATAGGTTCTGCGACCTTCCCCTGCAAGATCAGCCTGAAAGAAGGGCTTGTCATTTCGAGCGGTTCATCAGCACGGGAAAAAGCATGGCAAACATTTGAGTGAAATCGGCGCATTTTGGTGCATCATTTTCTCTTGGCTTTGCAGCTCCACCTATCCGTTGCTTGAATTCTCAAGTGGTGCAGACCGGCAGACCGACATACTCCATTCAAGGTCACCATGCAGGTGTCAGGAATTCCTGAGTTTGAGAGAGGAGGCCTTTCCACTTGCCCTCAGTCCTGTCGCACAAGTACATCCAAGATCGGTTCCTACTGGGGGAGGACGCCTTGTGCCAAACTGAGGCAGCAGTAGTCCTCTAAGATCCCATTTTTCCAACATTGTTCAACCAGAGCATAACACACCCTGGCCTTGGCTGAGAAGAAAGCGTTGGGCTTGGATCAGGGATCCTTTTCAGGATCACGAGAGTGGTGAGGGCAAAGCCCCGACATCGCCCTCAGTGTTTGGGGCTGAGATGAAGAGCTTGGGAGGTGTATCGATTCCATGTAGCGTTCTTGCTCCGTTCGTAGCGATGCCCTTTGCTCCTAGTAGTGTCCTGGCTCCTAGTAGTGGGGCCAGGAGCCCCTAGTAGCGTTCTTGTTCCTACTAATGAAAAGAGAATGAAAGAAGAACTTTTACAAGAGCCTCTATGAACTATCGCCACCATGTGGAGCATGTGGAGGACCATTGAGGGACAAGAAAGTCACCTCCTCTACCTCAGAAGCGTGCTGATTCAATGCGCCAACTCTAAGGCACAGGCCGCGATGTCATCTTTGGTGCCACAGGCCACGACTGTATATTCCAAGAGAGTGGGCGAGCGACCTTGCTGTAGAAAGGCGACATTAATTCTCAAGAAAGGCAACATTGATGCACCAAATTGGTGAAACAAGTGTTATATACGGTGTTGTGTTCTTGAGGAGAAAAAGCGAGAATATGCAAGGAAGGCGACACAGCGAAGAGTAGGGCATCTTGTCCGAAAAGGTAATGACAGTGATGAGCTGCAGTGGGCGTCCAACAGTCAAAAGCCCCCAACAGTCCAAAAGGCCTCCAACCTACTAGCGATGGCCTCCAACCTCAGCGGGCATGATGGTGCTGAGAGCGGTGAGACAGAGTCAGACCATCGGTTTCCGATGAGCTGGACACTCTGTGCTCGTGTCGCTGGTGCCACGGCGGTGCTAAGGAGTACGTCTCGAAAGGTGCCGCCAGTGGAAGAACACCTCGATAAATTTGAGGCGTGCCGCCATAAATTTGAGGCGTACGATGAATTGAAGTCCCGGCATCGGGCGACGGATGCCGGGTGATGTTTCTTATATCGCGAGGAGTTGTTTGTGCCGTGTTCAGACATGTCTTCTGATGAAAGAGCCAGTGGCCGCCACGTGAGGTGAAAAAGGAAATTGCCAGGTCCTCAGCAACCCTAGCCTACAACCAAATGGCTCAACCATTGAACATGGTTCGCAACGCCACGTCCAGGACCAAAAGACCAGAGACTTCTTGAAGAACACCATGAAGCAAGACCGCCTTTGTGCCACGTCAAGAGCCCGGTGTCCGGTGTCCAGCTTGAGAAAGCCTAAGACTTTAGCGATGGCCTCCACCTATAGTACCAAACAGTACAACAAGTACTGCTGACAGGCTAACATGTGTGCAGATGAGATACCAAGCTCCTGAGGCTGGATGACGCTGAAATTGAATCTATCCTGAGCACAATGAAGGCCAGGTGGAAGTTGGGCCATTCAAGAGATTCTCCGAATCCAGAATTTTGATATTGATTCCAGAGTTGCAACTCTTAAATGCTACTAGTAACAAGTGCATCGCTACTAGTAACAAGTGCCTTACTAGTAGTAACAAGAAGCTATTAGAAACAATAAGACAAGTTTTTCCCCTTAACTTTTGAGAACTTTCTCATCTTCCTGGTCCTTGCCACCGCGCCGTCAGTTCTACGAGTTTTGCAAGGGCACGCCGATCATCCAAGAGGGTAGACTTGGAACAACGTGCCTTGGGCAGAAAACTTATATAGTAACTTGCTCCGTTTGATGTCTCTCAGCATCTCAGTAACTTGGCACCTGCAATGTCCCGAGCCAAGCTTTCGGTGCATCTTTCTGACGGCTCAATTCCTTTTTCCCGAATGCGTAGCGAAGGGTTCCCGTTTATAGTTGGGGGTCTGGGGGTTGGAGCTGTGTTCGCGTGGCGTGCGTCGTGTCGTCGTTTGTCGTCGTCGTCGCGTCTCAAATTTGCTGCCATTGGGGGAAGCTTTTGCAAGTGACTTTTCATGGATGTGTCACGTGTCAGTTTGCGCCGCTATTCCATTGTGATTTGCATGACACCGACATGTCGCGCAAGAAACGTGATGCGTTTCGCTGCACAGGTGCAGCGTTTTGTGAGATCCGCAGTTTGCCGCGCAGTTCCATTGGGATTAGCGTTTGGAGAGTCGTGTTTTTGGGGTGTTGGATGTGGCCGTGCCATTGGGATTTGCGTTTCAGGGTGTGGCGTGGAAGCTCGGTTTTCGTGACAAGTCTCAGCTGAAATGGCGATTTTGGTGGATGGGAGTGTGCTCAGAACGGATCGAAATCATTCCAAACGTGTGGTGTGGTGCAAATTTTGTTGAAGCTCACATGAGATGATATTGTCACTTTTCGTGGCAGGCGCAGGACTTCCTGCGGTTTTTTGAGGCGTAGAAGTGCGATTCTCGTGGCAGGCGCAGGGAATCGTGAGGTTGCGAGGTGTCAGGCAGGTGAAATCTCGTGGCAGGCGCAGGACTTTGTGCGCGTTAGACGTGTGGATGGGGAAAGATTCGTGGCAGGCGCAGGGAGTCGTGAGGTTGTGAATTGTGGTAGAGGTGAACGTCGCTGTCACATTGGGATTGGCGTGTGAGTGGGTGTTGTTTGGAGGAGCTGGAATCGCGAAACTGCTTGGCAGGGCTGCGTGATGTGTGTGCTCCGATGGGTGTTTCCGCTTGACTTTTGGAGGAAGTCTCGTACGAAACGCTCGTTTTGCAGACTTTGACGTGTGAGTTTTTGAGGAAGTCTCGTTCGAAACGCTTGTTTTGGAGACTTGACGTGTGACTTTTTGAGGAAGTCTCGTACGAAACGCTCGTTTTGGAGACTTGACGTGTGAGTTTTGGAGGAAGTCTCGTACGAAATGCTCTTTTTGGAGACTTGACCTGTGAGTTTTTGAGGAAGTCTCGTACCAAACGCTCGTTTTGGAGACTTGACGTGTGAGTTTTTGAGGAAGTCTCGTACGAAATGCTCTTTTTGGAGACTTGACGTGTGAGCTGGAAGCTGAGAACTGGCGACTTTGTAGTACAACTTTAGTGCGCGGAGTGTCCTGCAAGTGACCCACAAGAGTGTCTCACAAGAGTGTCCTACAAGAGTGTCCTACAAGAGTGTCACAAGAGTGTCTCACAAGAGTGTCCCACAAGAGTGTCCTACAAGAGCGTCCTACAAGAGTGTCCCACAAGAGTGTCCCACAAGAGTGTCCCACAAGAGTGTTCACAAGAGCGTCAGAGTGTCCTACAAGAGTGTCCTACAAGAGTGTCCTACAAGAGTGTCACAAAAGAGTGTCCTACAAGAGTGTCCTACAAGAGTGTCCCAGAAGAGTGTCCCACAAGAGTGTCCCACAAGAGTGTCCTACAAGATTGTCCCACAAGAGTGTCCTACAAGAGTGTCCCAGAAGAGTGTCCCACAAGAGTGTCCCACAAGAGTGTCCTACAAGA